CCATGATATACGTGGCTTCCTCTGCTTTGAACTATGCACATAAGTCTTGCCCTGTGATCTGCAGTTCTTGTCCGGTCCATCTGGGTATTGAGAAATCTCTCTTTCATAAAGGAGCTCACTGGCGTCTGTGTGGACGAATTAAGTGTGAGCCAATTATAATTTACTGCGAGTTCAAACGATGTAATTGGGATGGTGATGTCGAATAAATTGGTCTTCCCGATTTGTTTGCTGGGGTATGTCGTACATTAATTCTATGATTTGGATAGACTAATTTTGTTATTATACCCTAAGTGAATAATTTAATTTTTTTAAAATACGTCATATGTTAATTTACGAATGATCTATTATTTTCACTTATGTGTAATGGAAGTGGGCAAAATAATTGATAAAGTAATATTTCATATATTGGATGAGCAAAAAAAAAAACAATTTATATAACATTTAAGGATTTAATATAATATATATATCAAACAAATAATTAATTTAATTGATTTTTTTTAAATTACCTGATATTGAGTAGAAATATGGTTATGCAACTTGCGTTCAAACTTTTTAAGTCAACAAATCGTTTGGGATTGCCTCTGGCAATCTAAAATCACTTGTTTAAGCAAAAGTAATGACTTATAGTTGTGGTGTGGGTAGAGGTGCACAAAAAATCTGAATATTCGATTTTACGTAAAAAAATATCCGAAATCGAATTTGGGAAAAATCGGTTTTTTTTTAAACCGGATTGGATATTTTAAAACCGGATAGTATAACCGGTTTGGGAAAAAATTGGACGACTGGATTTTTTACCAAATTAAAAACCGATTTGAAAAAAATCGGATAAAAAATTGGTTTTTTATCCGGAAAAAAATCCGGTATGGGGTTTAAAAATCCGGTATGGGGTTTAAAAAATTGGATGACCGGATTTTTTACTGGATTAAAAACAGGTTTTTTTAGAAAATCGGATTTTTTCAAACCGAAACCGGTTACATCATCCGGCCCTCCAAACCGGTTATGATCCGAACCGATTTTTTTATAAACCGATTTTTTAACTTGATGAAAAAACCGAATCGATTTTAATCCGATTTGGATCAAATTTAAATTCGACTATGTGCATCTCTATGTGGGGGGACTTTGTTATGAAAAGTATTTTTGCTTTAAGTATATACAATTCTTTTTTATCAAAACAAGTATCGAAATTATTATATATTAAAAAAGATTAATAATTTATTTTTAATAAAATATTTCATATATAAGAATATTATAAATTAATTATCTTTAAAGTATTTTTTATATTTTTATTATAATTTAAGTTGATATATTTTAAATATTATAGTATTAATAAATGTAAATGTAATTTAAATGTTATATTTTTAATTTACAATCTTATATCTACAATGAACATGTTATATTTTCAAAAATAACTTTTTGACAATAATCTCAAATAATTAAATTTTTAATTTTACTTTTCAAAAGTACTTTTTAAAAGCAATATCAAATTAACTCTGTATTTTCGAAAACTAAAAGAGTATGGAATCTTATTCTAAATATCTAATTACTTTTAAGGTATTTTTAGTTTTGAAACTAAAAACTCGAGTCTTGACCTATATTTTTATTTGAATATTTTTATAAAAATATTTTAGATAGACAATTAGATTTGAGTCTTATTTTGAAAATTTAATATTAATGAAATATTATTGGTTTTAAAATTAAATAAGATAAATCATTTTAAATTTATATAATAACTAAAAGATTTAATCCAGATTACGTTTTTATACTTGACCGAATAAAAATCCCCTACCAAAGCCTAAATTAACAAAAAAAAATAAAAATAAAGTCCTAACCATAGAGGCTTCACCAAACCCTAAAATCCCATAAATTTTTTTCTATTTTTAGTTCCGAAGAAAAGCTTTGAACTTTGGTCCCAAAATTTGAATCTCAAAACTAGCCTTCAAAAAATCCCTCCTTTTTCTTCTTCGTATCATATAATCCTGTTTTATTAGTCTGTCGCCACCATTTCCCATTTCTCCACCGTAAAACAAAAAACCCTAGTCTTCAAGCTCCAAACCTCATCTCCATTACTGCCAAGAATGGGCAAAAAGAAAGTTACCCCTCAATCCAATGATCCCAAGCTTCAAAACCCATCTCACGAAACCCATCACCCTTCCAAAGATTCAACCTTTACAAAATCTTCCAACCCTTTGAGCCGCCAATCTTCCATTGAAGACCCTAAGGAGAAGCTCCAAAATCTGAAGTCTCTAAACTCTTTACTTGTCAAGGAGGCCTTTGAAAGCAGGCAACAGATTGAATCCTTGGCTCAAGCCAAGGAAGCTCTTGAGGCTGAGTTGAGTGAAAAGAAGAAACTTGAAGCTGAGGAGAGTGATAAAGATGTGAGCTTTGAGTTTCAATGTGAGCTGTTTTCAGTTTACACGGGGACCCAAATGTTGGAACTTGGTGTTGAGATGGAAAAGATGATCGGGGACTTGAAAAGAAAAGTGAATGGACTGATGGGTAGTCTTGAAAATGAGAGGGAAAGGTTGAGTTTGGTTTATAAAGAGAGAGATTTGGTAAGGAAAGATTTTGAATTGCAGGTTAATGAGGGTAAGTTGATGAAAGAGAAACTGATGGAAATGGAGGAAAATCAGAGGAAATTTGTACAAGAGGTTGGGAAACTGAAAGCGGAATATGATAGGTTGGTTAGGGAGAAAGATGACTTGGAGAAAGTGAAGAGTTTGATTATGAAAGATAGAGATTTGTTGCAGAAGAACATGAATGATGCGACGGAGGAAGTTGGGAATTTGAGAAGGGAGAATGAAAAAATTGTGAGGGAGAAGAGAGGGATTGAGGTTGAGAAAAATGAGCAAAGATTGAAAATTGATGAGATGGAAAAGGAAATGAGGGAAATGAATGAAGTTATATCGAGTTTGAGGAAGGGAGATGGTATTTTGAGGTCGAAGATTTTCGAGTTGGAAAAGAACTATTGTGAAGCAATGGATCGGGAGGCTGAAAGAGCGATAGAGATCGGTGCATTGGTGGAAGAGAAGAGAGAAAAAGAAAGGAGCATTGAAAGGTTAATGGATGAAAAGGATTTTGTGTCGAAATTATTGGAGGCAACAATGGTGGAGTCAGGGGATAGACATAGAAGAATTGAGAAGTTGTTGGACAAAATTGCTGCGGCTGGAAGGGTGTTGGAAATGAATGAGAATGAATTAAAGGATATGCACAAGCAGATTGAGGAATTGTCTGGAGATAAAATCGAGATCGAGAAGGCCAAAAGCCGTCTCGAGATAGAAAATATAGAGTTACACAATAAAGTGATTGAGCTGAAGAATGTTGTGCAGAAGCTGCAAGAGGAATGCTCAGATCATCAAAAGAAGAAAATTGAATTGATTTCTGAAGTTAGCTGTTATCAAGAGTTAGTTGATCAAGTAACACTTCAGAAGGACCATGCTTTGAAACAACTCGATGAGGAGAAGCATAATGGTGTTAACTTGAGTTCAGAAGTTACAAAAATGGAGAATACACTCAAGAAAACTGTGGAAGAGCTAGCACGGAAGGAGGCTGAATGGCGGAACGTAATCAACGGAAAGGAAGAGATGGAGAGTCACAGTAGATCAATGGCTGAAGATAGAGATAGATTGCATAAGGAACTTTTGGAGGCTAAGAGAAGTTTCAGTGATTTGAAAGCTAAAATGGAATCGACCACCATTAATTACGAGCGAGCATCGACTCTGTTGGAGAACACTGCTTCACTGTTATGTCAATTTAAAGCTGAGAACAATGGGAAATCGACGGAAGAAGCCGTTGTTGCTGAACAGAAACTCGAAGATGAAATAGAAGCATATGCAATGAAATTGGAAGCAATCAAAAAGGCATTTAAGAACAAAGAGACGTTGGCTCAAGACTTGAAGCAGAAAGTTGTGTTGATGGAGAAATCCATGGCGGAAACCGAAAAGAAAAAGAGTTTCTGGACTTTAGTGTCTTTTGCAACCACAATTTTGGCTGCAATTACTTTGGCATATGCTGCAAAAGGACGTTGAGTGGTTTGTGGTTTTACTGGTTAACTTTGTTTTCAGCTCAACTTTTTTCGTTTACTTGTAGGATTAACTGAGAAAACTCTAATGTACAACATGGTATGTTGTCTAGTTTTGAACTTTTAGCTCAGTGATCAATAATGGGTTCTTGGATAAGAAAAGAATCATAACCTTCTTCAACTGCTACATGCCAATGCTTCATATTTTTCTAGTGACACTCATGTGTTGTCTGCTTATATGTCATTTTGTTGCTTATACTTTTTGATTACACATGTCTTTGTTATCCGGGTTAACGTGTGAGTTTTGGAGAACCCAACAATACAAGCCAATACTGAGTTCGAGTAACTGCGTTTGTAAGGTGTGTGTACGTTGTCAGTAGGTTAGAAAGTTCTGAATAAATATTACATTATATTTGTTCACTAGGTATGTTTCATGATGACTAATTCAGTATTGATATAAATGCATGAACAAATATCATAGGAGATGAGCCATTTGTGATATCTTTTGTAGCTGGCTCCTATGTTTCTCGGATTTGGGTTTGAGTTTCGAATATATATAGATATATTCAACACAAGTTTGTTTAGTTTTTCAAAAACTTCTTTCATGTATATGGAAAGTCACATCTTCGTATTCATATTCGAATATACTTTACACATGAGTATTCGAACTTAAAGAAAAATAAGGAGTCGGAATAACATAGTTTGATTTTACACATTCAATACTTGGGTTCCAATCTCAGAAGAGGCCATGCGACCTTTATCAAGTTAGGGTGGCAAATAAGACAGTCACAAATGTCATCCAATTCTTGTATTTTGAGGCTATTCTATTCATTTCACTTTCTTCAATGGCCATTATTTTGTAATAAGTTAGATAACTTTTTTCACAATATAAAAATTATTTTAATTTATAATAAGAATATAATATTAATATATATTAAACATCAATTAAATTAAAAAATATTATTGTAAACAATAACACATAAAATATCATTAAAATATATATATATATATATATATATATATATATATATATATATATATATATATATATATATATATATATGCTTAGTTGGTATTTAAAATCCTCAAACTTTTGAGGGAAAAACTAGTGTAGCCCCCTGAATGTGTCCCTTAAAGTGAGAAAAAAATAATTTAATCCTTCGACCAACAAAATCAAACGTTGACTGTTATGATGCTTATATGACAATTTACAAAACTTACATGATAACACAATATTAATATAGTAGTTCATCATATTATTGTACATATCGTAAACAATAACACATAAAGTGTCATTAAAATAATATATATAGTCAGTTAGTTAGTATTTAAAACCCTTAAACTTTTGAGAGAAAAACTAGTGTAGCACCTGAATGTGTCCCTTAAAGTAAGAAAAATAATATAATCCTATAACTAACAAAATCAAACGTTAATAGTCACGACGTTTATATGATAGTTCATTGATATGATAGTTCATGATGTTATTATGGCAATACATGATATGCAATGATATGGTAAATAGGTTTAATTGTTTTTTTTTGATAAGTTTGTGGAGCCATTGAATTTTCAAAAATTCAATGACTTAATTATTTTTTTATAAAAATTAAGAAATTATTTAAATTTAAAATATAAAATGTAAATAATTACTAATATATTTAATATATGACATATAAAAATACTAAAAAATTAAATTATTTAAAAAATTCAATTTAAGGATCACATTGAATGTGAAAAAATTCTGAAATCACATTGATTTTTTTTGGGTAAAAGTTTGAAAATTTCAGATACCGAAAACATGTACAAGTTAAAAATCTAAATCTCGTTTGTTTCTATTTTTAAAATTTTCAAGACAATTTAATGAAGATATTGAAAACATTTTTATACTTTCATATTATCATATATTTTTATTTTTCATAAAGCCTTTTCTAATTTTATAATCAATCACGTTTTTTAATCGTTTTCTATTTTCTAAAAATATATAAAAATTGAAAATGACATATATTTTCTAGAATGTTTATGTTATAAATAAGTACCTAAAGTATATTATTTTTCTCAATCTAAATATCTAAAGTATTTTTTTAATCAAAATAAGTATCTAAATTTATATTTTTTAGTCAAAATAGGTACCTAAAATAATCAGTTTTTTTCATTTAAGTTTTGAAAGAGTTGACATGTGACATCAATTAAGGAATACTTTAGGTAGTTAGATGAAAAAAAATGAAAACTTTAGATACCTATTTTGACCAAAAAGATAAATTTAGATACTTATTTTAATCAAAAAATATTTTGGGCACTTAAATAAAAAAAAGTGATATATATTTTAGGTACTTATATGTTATGCAAGCCTTTCAAACAAACAAACCCATTGTTGATCAGCATGCTAAATATTTAAGTACAGAATGAAACCAAATATGAACATATACATTCAAATATATATATATATATATATATATATATGAACATATGGATTTCCATGCTTGTCTATCATAAATATATATAATCATAACCCATGAATCTCAAACTCAAAATTTTCTCATATCTTGTACAACAATATAATTGTATTTACAGATTACAGTGGGCTTGCCCACAGGAGTTTTTCAAACAATTCAACAGCAATAATCAAAAAACGAAAAGCTAAAAGGGCAGATTTTAAGCAAACTTTACAAATACTAACGCCATGTCTGAACGTACAGTGTCATAATACCAAGGAACCATTCGAATCCATGTTCTAAAACATAACACTAGCCCTACACCAACTCTTTGATCAACTACCATTCCTTATGCATATGTATTCCCGTCTTATGCGGCAAGAAGCCAGGGTTCATACCTATTGAACTTAGTAGTCCGTGCTAAACGTACACAAAAAGGCTCTAACCAGTACGAGAGCTTCGTCAAACCATATAACATCCATTGTCCAGACATGCTGAAATACCTCTTCTTCGTCAACAATGCGACAGTAACTGCAAACTTCCTAACCACCACGAGATCGTGTCGTTTATGGCTGCCTGTATGTAAAGTTAATTCTATTTAACAGTCATAACTCACGAATTCACTTATCTCGTCCATGACAGTATGGAAGTGATTGTTATTTGGCAACAAGTAGAAACCGATGGTTGCCTGTTCCATATATAGAAGTTTAACCTTATGGCCAGCCTTTTTAAGCCCTTCGACATAAGCCAACTGCCAATCCTGAATAAGGTCCAATCCGGCAACCACCACAAGACTCTTTGGAAATTTGATTCCTTCAAGGCTTTTACCATTAGGACCGAACGGATTACATGCAGGATGGTCACGGTTTTCGCCTTCAGGTAGAAAAGCTCTCCAGTACCAGTCTCGGTCTCGTAGAGTAACAAAGTATTTCCCATCTAAATGTTTTTCGGATTCAGTCCTTTCTTGACCACTAAACATTGGATTGAGCAATATATTTCCCAATACATCAATTCCAGATTCTACGGCTCGTGCCGCAACATGGTGTGCTATGTTACCACCAGAGCTATCCCCAGCCAAATATATATGAACCATTGAATCTTTCTGACTTTGAAGCCATGATCTAGAGTTCACCCAGTTAAGAGCGGTCCACCCATCATCATAAGCACACGGATATTTATTTTCAGGTGCACGTCGATAATTCACAGAAACAACAACAGACTGGCAAATACCCACCAACCGTTGACATAAAGTGTCGTATATAGCACTATTTGCTGAGGAATGTGCAAAGCTCCCACCATGAAAGAAAATTATAACAGGGACAACCTCACCCACAACAGGCTTCTCGAGGTCAACGATACTCGGTTGAGGCTCTTCAGCAGTTGCAGGTCTGTAAATCCGACAAAGGAGGCTCGTAGCACGATCAATGAGGACATCAAATGAGAAAACCCCATCAACTGGGTTCAGATTAGCAGTGACTTTACGATCGAGATACTCTGCCAAGGGACGATTGAAAGTGCCATCCGGTCGACGAAGAAGATTGTAAGCCAACTTAAAACTGGAGATGAGGACCCATGTATTTAGGGGAACCACCATCTATGCAATAAGATATACACACAGCATGTTAGCAACCAAGACATCATGAAATCAAATCTAGAACAAAGAAGATCTTTTACAACCTATTTAATATTGGCCTCTCTAAATTCATCAAATACATGAACTGAAAACCCTATAGACCCACACATTAGCTACACTCACTTGCAAAGATAAACAAAAATTTTGCAAAGTATTCAAGTCAAAAGTTACCATCCTACAAAGCAAGCTGATCCAAACCAATAACTATATATGATCTTCAAAATCCAATGAACACCAGCAAAGAAAAGAAAAGAAAGAAAGAAAGAAAAAACTACTACAAAGGCTTAACCAAATAAAAAAACTCCAACTTTCTTGGAAAACAAACTCAAATATCATGTTGAAACATATAAATAAAATTTTCTATAAGCAGCGACGGAATCATCTTTAAACAGTACAAAAATCTTTATAAAGAAGATTAGATAAGGTATCCAGCTCTAACAAAAGATCAGCAGTAATTCAACTTAAATCACCCGAAAATAAATCAAAATCCATTTAACAAAAATTTAACAACCCAGTTTAGAGATAAGCAATACAAGTTGACCAATGAAATGAAGGGAAAAAAAGATTGTACCTTGCACTCATTGAGGTTGACATCATTGCTTCCAGACATTTCCCCTTCTTTAAACACTCAAAAACAAAACCCAGAAGCTAAAAATAGATATTTTTGAACAAAGACTCACAATTCATATCACAAACCAAAAATCAAATGAAAAGGAAACCCAACAAAGATTTTAGTCTTTTCTCCACGCTAGAGATCCCTCCTTTGCCATTCCTTTTTTCTTTCTTTCTTTTTTCTGTTCCAAAGTCCATAAGCATACGAGCAAAAAGTGAAAAAGTTTTATTTTTATTTCTTAATAATTTCTTGAATAAAAACAGATAAAGAGACGGTAAAGATAAATCTCAGTTGTAACTTGTTGAAAAGGATAAGATGGTGTGCGCAGGTTAGAAATTCTAAGGGTGTGGTGCTAAAATACTCATAGAGTGAATGTGGGACATGAGAGACGACACGACAAAATGAGTAGCCGAAGGATTTACGTCGCGTGGGTCCCTTACATGTGGATTTAAAATTATATATTTTTGTGATGCAATTATATATATATATACATATATATTTTTTTGAAATAATATTTTATTTATTTATTCTACACACCAAGAAGTCAAGAACTGTAAAATAAGATAAATAATACATACTAAATAATTAATTAGTAAAATATAACTCCTTCAAATTTATTTTGAGATATAAGTTATTTATTACAGTGTAAATAAAACTTGTCATGTGTAGGTGATGTGGTTCATAAAATATATTAAAAGATATAACTTATCATATAAAATAGATAAAAATTGTATGAAATTTGTTACTTTAACGTTACAAGTTTCAAACTCGCCATCTTCACATTACGAGTTTTATGTGCATTATAGGAAATGATTTATATTTCAAAATAATTTTTCATCACTTTTTTGAAGTTCCTACCCATATTATTTTCCTAATTTTGCCCATTAAAAACTTATTTAATTGGGTAGAAAAAACCCAAAATATTTAGTTAAATACATGCAAAGAGTTTTCTAAATTAAATTTAAATTCATTGAGTTGGTTTTTTAAATAAATTGAATTAAATAGATTTATCAATTAAATTAAAAATAACAAAATAACAAAATAAAATTGGACCATAATTTATGTAATCATTTATTTTAATTTACTGTGTGGACCCATCCAGCCAAAGAAAATCTGTAGTGCCCCAAATGACCAATCCCAATAATAATTCCACCTTCTTGGCTTTTCCCTTCTCCATTCATTCCAACCCTACTTTATTTATTTCCACGGAACATTCCAAACCTTTCATAAGAATTAAGGATGAAGTATACAAATGGTATTTCGATATAAGGTATTGATATGTTATCTCACTATTAAATATTAAAAAAAATAATTTTTTTAATTATAAGATATTATTTTTTAGTTATTTAATTATTAAAACTTATAAAATGATTATTTAACTATTCATATATTATAAACCCGTCATTTTTTGTTAAAAAATCGAAGATCGCTTGAGCTGAATGTTAATTCATTGACAATGATATAATAAAATTAGATTTCATAATCATTTAAGTTATATTTTGTAAATTGAATCTCCTTTTACATTGTATCATCAAATTTAATACTTAAAATATAATATTGTCGAGCTAGTTATTGAAAATAAATGGTGTGCCAATATACATCATCAAAATTTATACAAAATAATTTAAAATCTTTTGAATATAAATTAACTTTATATAGACTTTGTTTATATCGGGTCCCGAATTTTCAATCCAAATATCCTCAAATAGTATTATTTATTGTTTGTTATCATTTTGCACTATTTTAATTTTCAATATTTCTCATGTATATTTAAGAAATAGGATAAACTACATATCTAGTACATAAGTAAATAACTTTTATTTTATTTGGCACCTAAATTTTATTTTTTAAAAATATACCTAATATTTATTTTAGTTTTCATTTTGATATGCATCTTTAAAAATTTAACGTTGATGTTACCAAATCATCATCGAAAAAGAGATAATTAAACCGTTCATTACTCAACTATCTTTTCACCCCTAGTTTGATCACTAAAATTTAAAAATGTTCAATTTTATCATTAAACTTTTAAATTACTCTTATTGTAATTACTCTGTTTTATTTTATTAATATTTGTCATGATATGATATCTATTATTATTATATTGACTTATACGTCGCATAGTATTAAAAAAATTAATTAAAATCAAACCCATATTTCAAACCTAAAGATTATACCTAAACCTTAGATCCCGAATTAAAATGAAATCTGTAGATTGAAGTTGACAATTTAGAATGAAATCAGAAATATGTTGTGAAACCGGTCATCAACACAATAATTTTCAACATCGAAATCACAATATATCTCAGAGTAAGGAGAATGAAAAGCTTTGAAGCATAGGGACCTTAACTTTGAGGAAGGGGAAAAACTGATGGTGCAGTAGCTACACTTGAACACGTACTATATACAATCATTAATTTCAAAATGATTTTGACTTGTCTACAAGCATAGCAACTCACATGTATTGGCAGATGCATGAAGGCATGGCAATCGAAATAGGTATATTATAGCGTTGATGTTTCATGGAGGAGTAGAATTATGAAGCTTAGGCGGCGGAGGACGTTGGAACCGAAAAAACCAACGGTGGTGGATCGAAAAACGACACTAAGGAGGATGGGGGTGGGGGTTTATAATTTGGATTCATGAATTGGGAATAATTTTTAGGTTTAGGATTTGGGTTAGATTTTAGATTTTTAATTTAATTTGTTATTTTAATCCTACATGGCATATATATTAATAACAAAATAGTAATAAATTTAGTATCATATAAAAATATTAATAAAATAAATTAGATTGATTAAAATAAGAGTAATTCAAAAGTTTTATTATTAAATTAAAACTTTTTAAATTTCAATGACCAAAACAAGAGTGAGAAGATAATTGAGTGATGAACGATGTAGTTTACCCTTGAAAAAGTAAAATATTTAACATCAACAATTCTGTTAATTTTTTAATAATATGTACCAAATTGAAACATAAACTAAATTTAAGTATGATTTAAAAAATAAAGTTTAGGTATAAAAAAGGAACAAAAGTAATAATATAAGTACTAAACATATAATTTATCCTAAGAATATTTAGGTGAAATTGGGCTCTTTTTAGGAGGAGCAACGGGCTCTTATATATTTACGATTTTGTTATATTCAAACCAAGAAACAAGTGCCCCGCGAGAACTCTAAACATGAAAGGAAATATATAATGTTTCCCGCGAAAACTCAAAATCTCGTGCCACGTTTGCAATCCTCGTGATCATCTAATGACCAATCACATTCCACCAAGCTTTGCTATATAATGTTCCGCGCACAACCCTCTTCTCTCGAATCATCCATTTATCAGTTTAGGCCGACACCTTTGCCATTCCAAATCTTCTATTCCTTTTTACCAACAAGATTAGGGGTTTGGGATTCTGAAAGATGAGCCCCCAGGAAGGATCAACCAAAGGAGGGAGAGGGAAACCTAAGTCATCCAAGGCGGTTTCCAGGTCACATAAGGCCGGTCTTCAGTTTCCGGTGGGAAGGATTGCTAGGTTCTTGAAAGCCGGGAAATATGCCGAGCGTGTCGGTGCCGGAGCTCCCGTCTACCTCTCCGCCGTATTGGAATACCTCGCTGCCGAGGTGAGATTTCTTGTGGTTAATCGATTTGTGCGGCTATGCTTTTTAGGGAAAAAATTGTGATTTAATAATCGTTTACGTTCTTCATTACGATTTATTTAATTTGAGTTTTGATGTGGGTTGAAATGATGGATTGATGGTTAATTGATTCGAGGGTTCGTTTTTTGATATCTGGTTAATTGATCTGTACTATTAGTCAATCAATAAATAAAACAGTTTCTTGAAGGTTGAATAATATAGGGGGAAAATAAGACCCTTTTTGATATTGTTTTTACTTGTTATCAGGTTCTGGAGCTTGCTGGAAACGCAGCGAGAGACAATAAAAAGAATAGAATAGTTCCAAGGCACATCCAACTAGCAGTGAGAAACGATGAAGAGTTGAGCAAGCTGTTGGGTTCGGTCACCATTGCAAATGGAGGTGTCTTACCCAACATTCACCAGAATCTTCTTCCCAGTAAAGCGGGAAAGAACAAGAGTGATATTGGATCCGCTTCCCAGGAGTTTTAGCATTTCTCTTATCCTTTTGATTTCTTGGGTTTTGTTTTGAACTGTTGTGTGATATGCAATGTTTTCTTTTCGCTTTGAATCCCTCATGTTACGTTTTTGATCGAATCTGTTATAATATCAAAGCTATTATATGAAATTTGCTTGCGTCTTTCTTCCTTCCTTTCCACTTCTCATTTACTCTACCTTCATCACTTTGCTAGAGAAAATTGATCACCATAGGTTGCATCTTATCTTGAATCTCATGCTGCATTCAACACAAGTTGTCAAGTATTTGATAATGTAGCCATTGCGTCAGAAGTCATGCATACCATCGGTTGCAAGGGTAATGGGAAGTAAAAGTCTTGGGGCTCCCAAACTTGATATTTATATGGCTTAAGACAGTTCATGTTGATCCTTTCTTTAGGAAGTTCTTAACATCGGATGGAGTCGGTGAAGTCTGTGTCTTGTCAGGTTTCAGTTTTTTATCCTCTTGAAGAGGGCTAAGACAGGGTGTCTGTTGTTCCCAAACTTCTTGATTTTTTGTCAAGTTGTTTTTTATGTGTTTCTTCATAAATAGGAGATCAATTCAAGGCATAAGGATTAGTAAAGTAAGTGTGTCCACGTATCATCTCTTTTTCGCCAATGATAATCTCTCCTAATTCAGAGTGAATAAGGAAACACGTCATTCTTTAAAATCTCTGCTAGACACTTTTAGTAAATATTCTGGCCCTATTAATTGAGAGAAATCCATCTTGAAGCTCATCCCAAATTAAAAATGGTTACACGCTGTCTAGTACGGTCACCTACCGTATGCATATATGGGGTGTACAAGTAATTAAAATCAAATAGTTGAGATTCTATAAATAGATGCTATTTTATATTTATTCTAAATTAATAAAAATCTAAGTCTATTTATGATAATATATCTTTATCATATAAATGCGGGTTGAATTTACGAGATAATGTTCTCGAACTTTTTTATTCACGAGATAATGCACATCCCAGATTAATTGCTGAAATGGGGTGAATTCTACAGTGATGGCCATAGGTCGTCAT